GCTGGAACCTAAACAAATAATCATTAAAATTAAAAATACCGCTAAAGACTGCAACACTAACGTTATTTACTAGTAGTTTCGTGGGTGAAAAGCAAAGTATAATTTGCATAATTGTTATAGCAGGAATTGATAAACAGCACTATCATCGTTAATAATTAGGAATCATGATAGTAATAATTATTATCAGTGATAATCCTTAATAATTAATAGCCATTGGTAATAATTATTAACAATAGTAATTTTTTTAAATAATTACAACAATGATAAGAGTAGTAAAGGATTCAATCTAACTGAGAAAAATACAACATTATTGAAAAATTTTAGCCTTCATGTTTGATATGTAAAGATGAGCAAAAACAAGATGATCAAGTCGATCCAGATGAGCTAAATGTTGCTCCGATACTTGAGTATCATAAATCAACGGTTAGCAGATCTATTCCTATTTTTAAATTAATTTAACAACTACTAATGGTTTGCTTATGTTCAATACAATGAAGAAAGCATTAATTTTTATATCCCTAAATTCTAGCAGTTGTTCAGTTGTTTATTACATTTAATAATAAAAGTACTCACGTCCCACTTTTGACATTGGTCCAAGCAATTAATTTAATGAATGAAAATTTTCTTGATGTTGAACAGAAAAGTAATCAAAAAATAAATACTTATTTCAAAGCATTTTTCGCACAGTCACTGAAGAGTTGAAGGGAGCTGTAGTTCGTAATAGTTTTGTTACAGTTTTAATTCCTAACAGAACTATTACAAACTCTGATATCTTTTATTAAGTTTGCTTGAAAAAAATTTTTCAGGGAGTTGATAATCTTGATGAGATTGAAAATGAAGTATTAGTGATCAACTCAACGGCATGGGTCCAAAAACCAATTGATTTGAAAAATTGGAAAGAAGCGGTTGCAAAAGTGCGTGCTTGAAACAAAATCTTAAAGTGAACTTTCTGATATGTTTAAAGCAGCTTAATTTAAGTATATAGATTAGAATTACTTTGGTTAATAAAATGGCAGTATTCAAACAAGCGATTCGAAGCTTAACATAGCACTGGAACGAAAACTCGCTATTAGTTTGTTTGCTTTAGTTACGTTCTGAAAATTCGAATTCACAAGAAAACCTCCGAAGTCGAAATATTTTAATAAAGTAACTTGTTTTTTCGGACACTGAGCTATCTTGTCAACAATTTCGGTTGTCTTCAATATTTGTTTGAATGTAACTTGCTTTTTCAACCAATATAATTACTCTCTACTCTAATCTGAATGCAATAATTAAATCAGAGAATTTTCGATATCAAATCTTGATCTTCAAAAGCTGACTGATGTAAGCATCGTGCAAATTATCTTAGTCACTTTCAAATAATGATCATACTTCACTTCAGTTTGCTGATACATATCAAACATTTGGGTTTGATCGAGCAAGAAATCATTTAAACTCACTCAAGTTAAACAGCGATGCGTATAGCGTAGAAAAGGAGGCAAATAAACAAAATGCTTTGAAGAAATGGCGTCGTTTACCAATCATACGCATTCGAATTCATAAAATTGAGCAAGAAATCTTTGATACAAAATATTTTGGAAAAAATTTTAAAGCATTTCGGCACATTGATAAGATCAGAAACTTGATTAATGAGGTAAGCATAGTGAAATTATTACAGAATCTGGTACATCTTTGTTTCGTAATAATTAATCAGTTTAAGCTTCATGGTACTTTGCAGTCATTTCAGATCAACATATCTTGTACCACAATTTTTGCCCTGAAGTTATGGAAATTCGAGAACGATAAAAATACTTGAATGACTATTTTTTGCTTCTCTGTCTTAAATACGTGAATAAAGGAATGCTGAACAAGCGATAGTTAAATTTCAGCACTTAGGAACTGCTTGACTGCATTTGGAAATGGACTCACATTTTTTCAGTAAAAATGCATTATCACACAGTTCATCATATACCCATTTATTTTTAGGCAGCCAAAATATTAAACGAAGTGTACAATTATTATCACCATATGGATAACGAAATTAAGGAAAGCAATGTTAAAATAGCTTATATCGAAGAAAAATTGAACGCGAGATTTGAAGGAGAAATCGAGCACCAACGTCCCAGATGTTTCTGGGTTTTTTGCTACTAAATTTTATTTTTATGATCAATAAAAATGGAAAGTATTACAGCAACCAAGTTAAGTAAGGGCATGTGTGATGTTGTATTTTGTTAAATAAAGCACCTCAGCAGGAACGTCGCTTTCCATTTCTTGTACATGAAATGCTAGAACAAATATTCGAGCAACAAGCAACTAAATCTTATTTAATTGTCTGCTGGTCTTAATTAAAGTTAACAAGTAATACTGCAGTGATTTCGATAATCTTCCGAACATTCGAGCTTTTCAAGCTAATGCGCACTAAAGCCATACTAACGTTACATCTTAAGAACTACATTTCATACTGCACACACTTCGCAAAAAGCTGTTTTCTGACATGTCTACAATGCTACCGGATATGTTCTTACCCATTGACATGAATGAACTGAATGAATGAATGAATGCGTGAATGAAAGACAAAATTGAGACTAATGGCGATATGGTCTATATTTATTTCATCTTCTAGTTGATTGACTAGCACTCATTTCTAATCGATTAAGAAAAGGTTCCAAACACGTCAATAGCTAAAATGAAAGTCAAATTTGCAAGACTAACAATACTAATGAGATCGTAGATGATACATCAAAAAAATCTGTACTTCATATTACCTCAATCAGCATACTGCGTAGTAGTTTTTCAAACACTGCAGATCTTGAAAAATGAAAAATTGCAGTTCCGTGGATCTTAAATTTGTAATTACGAAAGAAATGCATGAGTTCGGAACCAACTACTTCTTCCAAACTGCTGTCATGAAGTAACGGGTTTCATGCATTATGTTACTGCGTCATGAGTTTGCAGGGCGTTGCATATCAATTTCAGTTTCACGTGACACATTCTAGAGCGAATATCATACCCAGCCTTCAATTCACAAATTTTAGCAATTTTTGCCATCCTATTAGTTATCGTGTGTGATACGCTAAGCTAATTATAATGACGCATGTATAGACGAACAAGCATCAAATTTGCAGGATCATTAACTTCGAGAAGTACGCATATACTCGAAAGAACAACGATGAGCTGGAACAAACAAACTTATCCATCCCCCACGTAAACACAAGCATATACATATCCAGAAGCACAAAACACTTCAAAACTATAAATTGGTTCGATAGTTCGTTCACTGCGTATTTCTCTGCATTTGTTTTTTTGGCTATAATGACCTTTGCGTTTGACCTGCTCATGCGATTTCGAAATCTGATTCTTCGAAACGCCAAATTCTAACAGGTTTCATGAAGTACTTGAAGCTTTACTACT